TGCGTCTTCTTCCTGTTTCCTGCTGTGGTTCCGTGCGTCTTCTTCCTGTTTCCTGCTGTGGTTCTATGCGTCTTCTTCCTGTTTCCTGCTGTGGTTCCGTGCGTCTTCTTCCTGTTTCCTGCTGTGGTTCTGTGCGTCTTCTTCCTGTTTCCTGCTGTGGCTCTGTGCGTCGTCTTCCTGTTTCCTGGTGTCATTTGGTATTTCTTCCTCCTGTTTCTTCAGCTTGGGATACATTGAGTTTCCTGGATGTGTAGATCTGTCATCTTCATCAAACCTGGAAAATGTTCGGATACTATCTTCAGGTATTTTCTGTACCCCTTGTTTCTCTGTGGGGATCACACACACCATGTCATTTGAAGTGTCCCACAGCTAGCAAACGTTCTGTTTTCTCCAGTCTGTGTTTTGCATCTTCATTTTCAGGGGTTTCTGTAGACCGGTCTAACCTTCCACAGTATCTAACCTGCTGCTCATCCATTGGATTCTTAACCTGGAACATGATTTTCATACTTCTTCATGTCTCTCCTGAGCATTTTTTTCTTTCATGTCGAACACACTGAATATAATCATAACTGTTTTAATGTTTTTGCCTACTGATTCTGTCATTCCTGCTTGGGTATACATGTGTGTTTGTGACAGGATTTCACGCTGTAGCCCTGACTAGCCTGGAACTCACTATGTAGACCAAGCTAGCCTCAAACTTGCTATGATCCTCCTACCTCAGCCTCCCTGGTGCTGGGATTACCGTGTGTACCCCAACACCTGGCCTTCAGTTTTCTCCTCTATGGATCGTCCTCTCACTATGTTGCACACCTCGTAAATCTTGAGTGGACACCGGGCACTGTGAGCTGCACTTGCTGCACATGTGCTGTCCCCTCACACTCACGTTCTCAAGCTGTGCCTGGAGCATGCACTATTAAAGCACATGGGCTCCTTTGAGCCTTGTGTTTACAGCTTTGGCAGGGAGGGGAGAGTGTCCTCGAGTGCATGTTCCTTGTGACTGAGGCAGCAGCATTCAGGCCCTGGTTGTGCCATCGCGGTCTTGGTTGTCTTGTGCAATTTCTGATTTGCATAAGGCAGGAGGGGAACCTGGCCCTGGTTGCGCCATCACGGTTGGATGCACAGTGTCTCACTTGTCACTTTTAGGACTTGAGTTTGACTTTGTGGGTCACAGGAGCACATGGAAATAATCAAAGGCATGCCAGATATGTGTCTCTTATGGGCCAAATGACTAAGTAAAACATGAGGGACAGCTGCCCTCTAACACGCCCCAGGATGCTGCCTTCTAACAAACACACCCCATGATCCTGCCTTCTAACAAACACACCCCATGATCCTGCCTTCTAACAAACCCCAGGATACTGTCTTCTAATACATCCATGATGCTGCCCTCTAATACATCCATGATGCTGCCGTCTAACACGCCCCAGGATGCTGCCTTCTAACACACCCAGGATTCGCCGTCTAACACACCCCATGATGCTGCCTTCTAACACACCCATGATGCTGCCTTCTAACACACCCAGGATGCTGCCTTCTAACACACCCATGATGCTGCCTTCTAACACACCCATGATGCTGCCTTCTAACACACCCATGATGCTGCCGTCTAACACACCCATGATGTTGCCTTCTAACACACCCATGATGCTGCCTTCTAACATGCCCCAGGATGCTGCCTTCTAACACACCCATGATGCTGCCGTCTAACACACCCATGATGTTGCCTTCTAACACACCCATGATGCTGCCTTCTAACACACCCATGATGCTGCCTTCTAACACACCCATGATGCTGCCTTCTAACACACCCATGATGCTGCCTTCTAACACACCCATGATGCTGCCTTCTAACACACCCATGATGCTGCCTTCTAACACACCCATGATGCTGCCTTCTAACACACCCATGATGCTGCCTTCTAACATGCCCCAGGATACTCTCTTCTAACACGCCCCAGGATGCTGCCTTCTAATACATCCATATGATGCTGTTTTCTAATACACCCATGATCTTCTCCTTTAGTCTGAAGACGTGTGCACCTTCCTCATTGATGGTCTGGAGGTTCAGTCTGTAGCATGGTTCCCCCCATGGGACGTATACGGAACTAAGAACGGAACATAAACAAGCAGATAGGCCTTTGAGGGAATCCAGGATGGAGTTGTGGCAGAGTCAGGCTTGGGACACCCCCAAAAGCAAGGATGCCTTCTCTAGCCCCTTAAGGCAACTGCAACCTGAGGAAATCCTTTCCACATGTTTACAAAAAGCAGAGACCTGTGTCCCCCATACTCCTGCCCCCACTCGCCCCTGCAGTTTCACCCATCTTAGAGGCCCCTCTAGGGATATCTGTGCAGCCAGGATGTCCCCTGTGCCCTCCAGAAGAGCCTGGCCCTCCAGGGCACTGTGAGAGACAGAACTGGGGGCATGGCCCTCTGAGCCCACCTGTGCCCCATGCCGTGCATCTGTCCACCACCCCCATCAGGAGGCCAGGCTTCCTACTCCAGAGTATCTTCGACCTTTCCCCTCCTGTCACCCTTTTGGCCAAGAAATGTTTATATGACCCCAGAAATATAGGCATATAAAATAGGTGTGTAAGTCAAATGTTTGCTGATAATAAAATCATAAAGAAATTTATTTTAAAACAATTTTTGTGCACATAAGATTTCGTGTTTGTTAAAGATAAAAGCAAATCTAACTGCACACTAATGAGATAGATGTGTTTGTTCATCTAATGCAGTACATTTCAATGACTCGCCGACTTGATAGCCACGGGGAGTGCTGGTGGGGAAAGAGTAAAAGTCTTTTTCCCATAACTGAGTGACTGTGTTTGTAGAAGAAGAGGAGAAAACTTAGTATGTGCAGTGGAACACTGCAGCCCATACAGCAGACAGGGAGTCTGGCTCTGCGGTGTTTCAGGCAGTGTTCACTGGCATGCAGCATACATGACATCATGCGCACTACAGAATGTGTATGTTGTGTGTTCAGAGCTGAGGATGCAGTGAAGTCATACCATGTAACACAGGCGAGTGCTTCCAGAAATACCTCAAGTTCATGACATGTTTGATACTCAATTTTTGGGGGGTTGTTGCATGTTCAGAAACCTCCTACTACTGTCAGTTATATAACTCCAGATGGAGACAAGACTCACAGTTTAAGTCACTTTGACCTATTCAACAGTGTCCCAGAGTCTCAAGGCACCTCCCCACACAGGGCACCCCCACACCAGACTCACCAGGCCACTAAACAGGAGGGTGGACACATAAAAGACATTGCAGAGTGTTCTGGATTGTTTCTTCATTGTTGTGACAGAATACTCTGACCACTACCAACTTGGGGAGGAAAGGGTTTATTCAGCTTACAACTCCCAGGTCGCAGTTCATCAGGGAGCCAAAGGTAGGAACTCAGGGCAGGAACCTGGAGGCAGGAGCTGGAGCACAGGCCATGGAGGAATGCTGCTTACTGGCTTGCTCCCCTGGCCCCTGCTCAGCCTGCTTTCTTATGCAACACAGGCCCACCTGCCCAGGGGTGGCACCACCCACAGTGGGCTGGGCCCTTCCACATCACTCATCAAGAAGATGTCCCTCAGACATGGCCACAGGCCAGTCCAATAGAGGCAGTTCCCCAATTGAGGCTCCCTCTACCCAGGTGTGTCAAGTTGACACTAAAGCTATCCAGCACACAGAGCCTAATCCAGAAGAGGCTGAGCATCACCCTCTGCATGTGCACCTGCACACACACGCACACCATGCTTATGCACAGAATCTTCTCCTATGTCTCCGTATCTACAAATGAGTCATCATGAACCAAGGAAAGTCAGGACTCTGCCCCACGGGACACAGAGGCCAGCCCCAGCACCATCTGCTATGCAGGTCCAGAGGCAGCCAGATTGCCCTGTTGCCCAAGGAGAACCAGATGTTCATGGAGGAGGCCTACAGTTCAAGGGAGCACCACCTGACATTGCAGCCATGATGACAGATCCTCAGTCCCTCCACCAGAAGCAGCCCTGAGGGCGGGGGCTAGAAGGAAGCCCTCTCCAGGACTATGGACAAAGGATGTGGGCATATGAAGTGCTCAGCCAAGCCCTGTACACACTCCTTGCTTGTTCGTGTCTTCTGAGACATCAGTCAAAACCCCAAAATGTCCCATCTTCTTCCTGGCCCCACCTCTCCAGCCATACCCTTTCATACCTCAGAACCTCAGCTTGTGCCTGGCCCTCTCTCTGGGATGCTTTCAGCACCAAGGAGTGTTAGATGACTGGATGGTCGGTGGAAGGATGAAAGAATGGGTGGGTGGAAGCACACAGAGATGGATGCATGAATTTATGAATAGATGGGTGGATCACTGGTTGATGCGTCAAGTTCTGTCTGGGTGGATGAGTGGACGGATGAGTGGATGGATCTGTGAGTACATAGATATACAGGTGTGTAGATGAATATGAAAATGAACAAACAGGTGGATGGACAGCCAGCTTGGTGAACAGACGGAAACCAGAATGAATGGTGGGTAGCCAGGTGGTCAACTGGATGGAAATGGGAGATATGAGAGTAAACAGCTGAGGCCACATTCCTGCTCTACCCACCTTACACCCCACGAGAGACCAAGTGGACCACAAGAGCATCACAAGACTTCCCAGGGTGTCCAGGTCTCACTTTCACTATAGACCTGTCCCCATTACCCACCCAGCTCTCTGTCACAGCACGGCCTCCCCATGAGCCACCCCTCCCACCCTTCTTGTCAGCCATCTGCTGCAAGATGCTCCAGGCCACAGGCACCTCAGACCCTCTCCACCTCAAAGACCTCATCAAGAAGAGCAAGAGGATGGCTCGGAAGTCCCCCAACCTGGTGATGGAAAGCATCCGTGACTACTTCAAAGCCAACCCAGAGGTGGGATTGCTTGGGCCCCTGGGATAGGCATGGAGCACAGGGGAGGAATAGATAGCCCCAAGAGGAACTCAAATCCTGGATCCCTCATAGGGTGGCTGCATCATTTGCGGCAAGTCTCAATCTCCTTGTGTGCCAATAGGCTGAGTTTGAAGGGAGGAAAGTGGACCCACTTTTGTCCATCACCCTCCGGACATTCTTGTGAGGTAGAGGTTATGATTCTCAGAGATGGGAAACCATGGCTTAGGGAAGAGAAGGGATTTGCCTCAGGTCACAGAACCAGTAAGTGGCAGAAGTGGGTGGGTGGATGAGAGGATGGATGGATGGATGGATGGATGGATGGATGGATGGATGGGTGGATGGATAGATGGGTAGGTGGGTGAATGGGTAGGTGGGTGGATAGATGATGGGTTGGTAGATGGGTGAATGGATGGACGAGTGGATGTATAGATAAACAGATGGATAGGTGGATAGATGGATGAATGGCTGGGTGGATGGATAGTGGGTGGGTGGATAGTGGGTGAATGGATGGATGGATGGATAGATGGATGGGTGTGTGGGTGAGTGGGTGAATGGGTATGTGGGTGGATAGATGGATGAATGGGTGGGTGGGTAGATGGATGGATAGATGGGTGGGTGGGTAGATGGATGGGTGAGTGGATAGATGGATGGGTGGGTAGATGGATGAGTGGGGGGGACAGAGAGATGGGTGAACAGATGGATGGGTAGGTGGGTGGATGAATGGGTGGATGGATGGATGGATGATGGATGGATGGATGGATGGATGGATGGATGGACCAGTAGGTGGATGAAGGGGTGAGTGGATGGATAAATGGATGGATGGGTGGATGGATGGATGGATGGATGGATGGATGGATGGATGGATGAGTGGGTGGGTAGATGGATGGGTGAGTGGGTGGGTGAGTGGGTGGGTAGATGGATGAGTGGGGGGGACAGAGAGATGGGTGAACAGATGGATGGGTAGGTGGGTGGATGAATGGGTGGAACAGGTGGGTGGGTGAGTGGGTAGACGGGTGGGTGGGTAGATGGATGGAAAGATAGATGGATGGGTGGGTGGGTGAGTGGGTAGATGGGTGGGTGGGTAGATGGGTGGATGGGGGGTGGAAAGACTAATATAGGAAAGGAGGGGTGATGAATTTGGAGGTTGATGGGTGACTGGTTAGTGGGTAAATGGATGGATTATAGGGATGGATGTGGGGGTGAATACAGAGATGGATGCATGAATGCATGGATGAGGGAAGGCTGGCCTAAGCATCAATGAAGAGATGACCTAACTTTGAAGACGGAACTTTTTAAAACTCATGCCCCTTCCCTGAGGACAGACAGCTCTCAGGTCTGCAGACCAGGCTTATGGCTTGTACATGGCAGGTATCTCCTGAGTTGCCAGGATAGCTCTCACAGCCAGCTGTGCTCCTCCAGCCTCCTGGCACAGCTTCCCACAGTGTTCTCCCTGGCACCCTCAGCACTGTCAGACGCAATGGAGCCCAGCTACCTCTGTTCTCCGCAGACTCCAGCCGGCACAAATTGAGACCTGGCAGAAGTGTTTCATGCAGCTGGCCCTGGAGCACATGACCAAATCCACAGTAGATCCCCACCCCAGCACACAGGCCAGGTCCTAAGGTTCTAAGGCTTGGCCAGCTACCCAGGGGTCCAAACAGTATGGAAGCTCAAGGTCTTGTGCTCATCCAGGCAGTTTCTGCCTGTTGCTCTTCCTAAAATGTCCCCTTAAGAACCCTGTCATGCAGAGCACTGCTGGACTGGGGCTCTGTGTCTCATATGCAGGAGCTAAATGTCTGGCTGCATCTCCATTCGCCCAGGAGGTCCCTTCCTCACAATCTCTCCCCTGCTGTTCAAACAGCAGCCTCTGGAAGGCCTAGTTCTAACACACGCCCTGAACCCTAACCCAGCCTTGATTCCTATCTCCCAGGTTCCTGCCTGACGGCAACCTGCAGGCTCAGGCCTTAGCCACCCCAGCCCACCAGACCAAATGTGAACAGGGAGCCCAGTGCCCACCACCGGCCTAGCCTGCAAGTCACAATGGCCTCCAGGGGCCTGGAACAAGTGTTTTTCTTCAGATCCTCTGGCCCTGGGAATTCCTATGGTGAACTACAACACACACACACACACACACACACACACACGCACGCACGCACGCACGCACACACGCACGCACGCACACAGAGTAGTGGTCAGAGAACAGTGACCTTCACCAAGGCCCACTGCAGTCCAAGCCCCAGCCCAGCACCAGAAAGACTGGACTCTATTCTTGCCCGTGTCATTCTGTATAACCTCCGCCCCCTCTCCTGCCACTTTGAAAACATGGCCCAGTATGCCACATGGGGCTGTGGAAGCTCTGTCCACACAGGGACAGGAGGCAGACAGAGAGAGAGACTGAAACTCAAGAGCTCTGGATATGGGAAGTAACTTGGTGGAGCTGGTCCCCAGGCCACTGAGGGGACACAGGCTGGCCAGGGCCATTGCTGGGGAGCTGTGCTCTAACTGCAACGGAAAGCTCATACCCATCGGGTGTGAAGCACTGGGCTCTTCAGCTCTTTCATCCCGCCCTGTGCTCAGCAGGCTTACAGGGAAGTTATAGGAATAACCACACACACCCCAATCGGTTCTTATGCCCACATCTTACAGAAGGAGGGACCAAGACTCACAGAGTTGGGGGACTTGCCAAGCCAGCCGGCAGAGAGCAGGCATGATGGGCACCTCAGTATAGAACAGAGAAGATGAGGAACAAGGCCATGTTCTCCAGACCCTTTTAAAAAACATTTCATCTATTATTTTACATATATGAGCGTATTCCCTGCATGTGTGTAAGTGCACCCGTGTCGTGCAATGTCCATGGAGTTCAGAAGAGGATGTCAGATTTCCTGGAACTGGAGTTATGGACAGTTGTTAACCACCATGTGAGTGCTGGGAATTGAACCCTGGTCCTCTGCAAGAGCAGTCAGTGCTCTTAACTGCTGAGCCATCTCTCCAGCCCCCCTCCCTTCCCTTTTTTATCAAGTATGCATCTGATAAAAATTTGAGGGAAGGAAGGAGAGTGGAAAGGAAAAA